GTAAAAATTTCAAATAAATATTCAATAAAGATAGAGGCATGGCCTCACCATTAATATTAAAAAAAAAAAAAAAAAAGCATGCATTAAGTATGTAGTTATAGTTTCATAATAGCTAGATAGTCTACGAAAATAATTAGTAATTAGTAATAGGGAAAATACAAAATAAAAGAAAAGGAAAATGAATACTTAGCTTTCTAGTCTGTTCAATAAATAAACATTCTGTGTTTAGTACTTAACTTTTTGTCATTTGGGAACATACTCTTGTTTCTTGTAAAGTGCCTTTGTTACGCCATGCCAAGTTGATCGATCTTATGTTATGACAGTTTGAACAGACTACAACCCTTAGGTTCACATCTACTACAGATTATATATCTCAATTCTAAAGCCTAATAAATTTATTATTAATAATACTTACTAATAAAATAATAACAATAATAATTAAAAAAAAAAAAAAAAAAAAAAAAAAAACACAAAACACAACTGAAGAAAAACTAACTAACTATAGCAATAACGAATAGAAGAACAACCAGACCTTAATAGTATCCTTATTGCTTTGCAACTGATCCAGCAAGAAAACCAATTATTAAGACAAGAAAATATAGATGTTCGCAACAAACTCAACCAACTATTACAAGGAGGAGCTCACAACCAACCAAGAGAGCCTAAAGTTAGTCTGCCTGACAAGTTCGATGAGACCTATTCTAAATTTAGAGGGTTCTTGAACCAAATACAGCTTATTATCTGTTTACAGCCTAGCTATTACACTAATGATAGAACACAGGTGGAGTTGCTTGGCAGTCTACTTGTAGACCCAGCTCTGGCATGGTTTGCTCTACTTCTTAAAAAAGAATCAGCATTGCTGAATGATTTTGATGGTTTTGTCGAAGAGTTCAAGGCTACCTTTGGTGATTCAGATAAGGTCAGCATGGCAGCCAACAGAATTAGAAAACTCAACCAAGAATCTAAATCAGCTTTAAGCAATGCTTTAGAATTCTGACAGATTTCTAGTGACCTGAATTGGAGAGAAGTGGCATTAATCGACCAATTCTGAACTGGGCTTAGAAATGATGTAAAAGACCTACTACTTACCATGAAGGACCCTACAATGTTGAATAATACAATATCTAAAGCAGTATGTTGTGACAACAGGTTGTTTGAGCAATGTCATAAACAGAAAGACCACATTGTAGGATGAAGTGATCTAGTACCTGGATATAGTAGGCCTAGTCTACCATCAGAGCCAATGCAGATTGATGCAACAAGGGCAAGAACTCTCACAGAAAAAGAAAAGCAGAGACTATAGGCTAATAATCTTTGCCTATACTGTGGTAAATCCAGTCACATTGCTAAAAATTGTTCAAAGAAAAGTGTCATAAAGCATAGGATCATTGCTGCAGAAACAAATTTAGAATGTTTGGGAAAAGAGAATCACCAACTGCAGTAGGGGGTCTGCAGTTGGATAGAACTTATAATGAAAACCTCAAAAACTTGACCTCCTACACTCTAATAGATACTCTTGTTATACCAGTCTTTCTACAGCTTCCAAACCAATCCATGCTTTCTGTCAATGCATTAATGGACTTTGGTGCCTCAGTGTGCTTCTTTGATTATACCCTAACACATCAATACAACTTACCTACTAGTAAAAAGAGAACACCACTGATGGTGGAAGTGATAGATGGCTGAGAAATATCATCTAGGGCAGTCATTTATGAGATCAGGCCATTGATGATAAGGTATCAGAACCATTATGAGGAAATTAAATTTAACCTGATTCAAATGCTACACCATCATGTCATTCTGAGGTTATCTTGGTTGGCCTATCATAATTCTAGTATTAATTGGCATGAGCGCATACTGAAATTTCCAGATGCAGGTTGTATTCCTCACATTCAGCACCCATCTCTTGCTTTAACAACAACTCACATTAGTATGCCAGAAAGAGTTTTCTTGGCCCAAATTTTCCACATAGCATTTGTAAATAAGGGTTCTGATATAGCCACCTCGATACTCCTAGTGAAATACAATGACTTTAGTGATGTGTTCAATAAAAAGGAGGCAAATAGGTTGCCAGAACACAGACCATATAACTGTGCAATAGACTTAGTATCTGGCAAACAGCCTCTATAGGGGCCTATATACAAATTGTCAGAGTTAGAGCTGGAAATATTAAGAAAATATATAGAAGAAAATTTGAACAAAGGATACATCAGGCACTCCAGGTCTCCCACTAGGGCCCCTATATTGTTCATCAGAAAAAAGAATAGATCCCTAAGGCTGTGTGTGAACTATCATGGATTAAACCAAGCTACTATAAAAAATTGATATCCACTTTCCCTTATTTCGGAGTTGCTACACTATCTATTCTTGGCCAAAATTTTCACCAAAATAGATCTAAGGGGTGCCTACAATTTGGTTAGGATCAAACTGGGTGATGAATGAAAAACTGTGTTTCATACTTGTTATAGTCTTTTTGAATATCTGGTAATGCCCTTTGGGTTTACAAACACCCTAGTGGTTTTTCAACATCTTATGAATGACATGTTCAGAGATCTATTGGATGGATTCGTTATTGTATATCTGGATGATGTACTAGTATACTCAACAAACCCCGAAGAGCATATCCAGCATATGAAATTAGTTCTGAAACAGCTTCATCAATTTGGCCTATATGCAAAGCTGGAAAAGTGTGAGTTTGATAAGGACAGTGTTGAATTTCTAGAATATACTATTAGGTCTACAGAAATAAAAATAGACAAAAAAAAGGTAAAAAACCTACTCTCGTGGCCCATACCTTCAACATTTAGGGAAACACAGCAGTTTCTGGGATTTGTGAATTACTATTGTCATTTCATAAACAAATACTCTCAAGTGGCCATACCTCTTACAAACCTAACTCGGAAATCAAGCAAAGGCTTCAAATGAATCAATGAAGCACAATTAGCTTTTGAGAGGTTGAAGGAAGCCTTTACATTGGCCCCAATTCTTATATATGCAAATCTTGCAAAACATTTTTTTTTGGAAACTAATGCTTCAGACTATGTGTTGGGGGGCTATACTGTCTCAACCCCAAGAGGATGGCTATCTACACCCAGTCACGTATTATTCTCATAAGTTCTTATCTGCAGAACTGAACTATGATGTTCATAATAAAGAGCTTCTAGCCATCGTAACAGTACTGAAACAATGGTGTCACTATCTAGAAGAGGCCTAATACAAAATTACTATCTATTTCAATCATAAAAATCTCTAATACTTTACCTCTGCCTGGCTTCTCAACTGTCATTAGGCTTGTTGGTCATTATATCTGTCCAACTATAATTTTGAGATCATGTTTTGCCTAGCGAAAGATCAAAGCAAATCAGATGCACTGTCCTGAAGACCTGGCTATAAGCCTTCTCACAAAGAACCCACCTTACACCAAACAATACTGCTAGAGAAAGAGAGATTACAACTCAATGCTGTTTCTACAACACTCTTGAATTACGCATTCTAGCAACATGTTAAATCCCAACTAAAAACAAACTCTCTTACTTTGACATAATTAGCCATCTGAATGATAGCACTATTCACAACAGCTTTCAATCCAACTATCACAAGTTTGTACAGAAAAATGATCTGCTCTATAGAGATGGACTGTTATATATATCTGGTACAGCAGAGAAACTTGAGATATTGCAGGCTCAGCATGACTCTAAGCTAGCAGGGCATTTTGGAATAGCCAAAACTATCAAGCTAGTAACCAGAAATTATTGGTAGCCCAAACTACAATTTTTTATATAGAACTACATTAAAACATGTGACACATGTGCTAAGTCAAAGTCATCAAGACATCATCCTTATGGATTGCTAATGCTCCTGCCCATTCTGTCATACTAGTGATAATCCATATTCATGGACTTCATAACTAACTTGCCTATATCCTCTGGTTTTGACTCTATTTTAGTGGTAGTAGATTGCTTAACAAAGATAGTGCATTTCATTGTCTGCTATAAAAACATTACTGCAGAACAAACTGCCCAATTGGTAATAAAAGAAGTGGTCTGTCTACATGGGATACCTGAAGAAATTGTATCTGACAGAGGTCTACAATTCACTTTTCAGTTTTGAAAACACCTCTTTAACCTTTTAAGAGCAAATATCAATTTATCATTAGCATACCACCCACAAACAGACAGGCAGAGTAAGAGGATTAACCAAGTATTGGAACAATATTTCAGGTGCACTATCAATTACCACCAGGACAATTGGGCTGATCTTCTACCCCTAACCGAATTTGCATACAATAACTCGATGCACTTATTGACACAAACTACTTCATTTCGGGCCAATTATGGCTTTTGTCTATGATTCAACATTCAAACGCCTTCATGACCAACTGTACCATCTGCTGAAGATAAGGCAGCTCAATTACTACAAATTAAGAAAGAGCTTATGCAGAAATTGAAGGTCATGCAAAAGCAATACAAGCGAAATGCCAATCAATATCGGCAAGAGCCACCTGTATACAGGATCAATAACCAAGTTTGGTTAATAAAAAAGAACATCTGTATACAATACCCATCAGAAAAACTAGATCATCAAAAATTAGGGCCCTATAAGATCGTGGCCCAAATTAACTTTGTAGCATATTATCTAGACTTGCTTCTTTCACTCAAAATCCATAACATGTTTTATGTATTCCTCTTGAAACCTTATGCAGCTAACAACATCCCTGGTAGACACAAGGAGCCCCTCCTCCAGTAATAGTGAATGGTAAGATAGAATATGAAGTTGAGAAAATACTCGACTCTAAACTAATTCAAAAGAAACTACATTACCTAATTGATTAGAAGGACTGTGACTAGAGCAAACATTCATGAGAACCTGTTAAAAATGTTGTGCATGCTGAAGAGGCCATAAGAAATTTCCATCAGTTATACTTCTACAAGCCAAAGATAAGAACAACTATATTAAAACCAAAGCAAGGAAGGAAGAGAAGACAAAGAATTAAGGAGGGGATAATGTTACAGTTATATGCCAAAGCCACCCAAGCCCATGACGCAAGCTTGACCCAAGCCTATGACTCAAGCTTAACTCAAGTTCATGACCTAAGTTTGACTCAAGCATGACCTAAGCCCGTGACTCTGTGCCAACCCAAACCTGTGACCCAAGCCCAACTCAAGCCTATAACCCAAGCCTGTGAACCAAGCCTGTAACTCGAGCCTGATCCAAGACTGCAACCCAAGCCTGAAACTCAGATCCGTCACAAACTCAAGACCTTAAGCACATAAGTAATAAAGTAATAAAGTCTCACATTAATAATGTAGTCATAGCATAGTAATAAAGCTGTGCATTAATAATATAATAATAATGTAGTTAAAATAGTAATAAAGCATACATTAAGTATGTAGTAATAGTTCTGTAATACCTAGATAGCTTTACGAAAATAATTAGTAATTAGTAATAAGGAAAATACAGAATAAAAGAAAAAGAAAATGAATACTTAGCTTTCTAGTCTGTTCAATAAATAAACATTCTGTGTTTAGCATTTAACTTTCTGTCATTTGGTGACATACTCTTGTTTCTTGTAAAGTGACATTGTTACACTGTGCCAAGTTGATCGATCTTGTGTCATGACATCTGATACCCATTAAGCATTGTGAGGTATCCAAGTTTATGACTGAGCCATCTGTATAAAAGTGAAGTACTGATGAGTTGGAATTATAGTTAGCAATTTGTTGAAGATTGTTTATAAGTAAACTGTGTTTGAAGATATTTGAAATTAAGTTTGTTGTAATAGTAATGTTAGATGTATTTGGAGTTTAAATAAGATGTCTAATTTTAATAGAATATATAAGGACAAGATGGTTGGCATTAAAGTTAAGAGTTTTGTTGTATATATTAACTCAATCATAAAATTTGGTTGAAACATTAATAGGAATAATGATTATGCATTTGTTAGCTATTGTATAAGAATTAAAATGACAGCCTGAGCATGCATTTGATAGGATAGATGAGAGAGAATAGAGGTGAGTAAATTGTGATTCTATGTGGCATTGCCAATGAGTTATAAGAATAGTTCCAACTAGTAAGAGCTGTTTTTTAGCTTTGCTGATAATGATTTTATTATTAAGAACTATAATAAGTCATAGTTTTTTCTGTAAAGAAAAATGTTCAGTTGTATAACTATAATAGTTTGTATTGGGAAAGTGTAAATGTTGATAAGAAGTATGATTGTAAGAATGACTTATAACTAGGTTCTCCAAATAGATGAACCAGAGAGGTTGTTAGCCTTTAGAAATTTTGTTTTTATATAGTGAAATATGTTTTCAGTCAAGAAGACATGAGTTGTCAAATGTGGTAAGTTGGTCTAAATATAAAATGCCATGATGTTTGAGTTGTTTCTTGAATGTTATATATTTAGAATATGAAGACAGTAGTGATTCAAGTGAGATAGAGCTCTCTTGAATAGTGCATAGAATATTGTATAATGGTTAGATGTAAACATTACACTAAGGTGTTTAAAAAGTTGAATAATCTTAAAATTAACTGTGTTTGTTGAGACCATCAATAATAGGATTATTGTGTATTAGAATACTGATAGGTGACCATAAATTATTTTAAAGTTGTTGGAGTTTAATGCGAGTACTTATTCCCAAAAGGTCAGATGAATTGAGTTTTTTGTTAAAGTTTGTAATATGGTGTTATAGTTAAATATCCTATATGTTATGAATATTGTAAAGTTGAGAATAAAGTAGTGTACTTGTTGGGATTGTGTGATTAAGTTTAGCCTTATTTTTGACAAGTCCAATATGGCATGTAAGAAGTTTGTTGCATGTGTTTTGACTAAGAACAATATTGTGAAGATGATACTCAATTGTAGAAATAATGACAGTATTAATTATATATCATGCATATGTGTCAGCAATTTGTTTAGTGCTTGTGATTTTAATAAGATGTAATCACTCTGCAGTAATAAGTTTAGTTTGTTTAATTTGTTTGTTGTTAAGTGTAAACCAGCATTCAAGAAATTTAAATAGTTCATTTAATAGATGTAGATTAAAAGAATAATTATTGTATATAATAGGAGTATAGTTAGTTAAGATATTGTTAGTTGTTAATAAGGACTTGGAAGGATTGATTTGAAT